CCAGGCGGGTCACGAACCCGCGGGCTCAGGCAATCCACTCACCTCAGCCTCCCAAAGGCATGGGATTACAGGCTGAGCCACCGAGCCCGGCTTGATATTTTTTATTCTAGTCATTGCTACTTGTTACCTGCAGAATTCGTTTTATAACCTACAAATTGATTGTGACCCATAGTTTGAAAAACACTGGTATAGAGTATGTTGTGAGACCGATACTGTCTGGCTCAGATTGGTAAGGGACTTGTTACTAAACAGAGAAGTTTGCAATTCATCTTATAAGCTGGAGCAGTCAGCAGAGGTGCCCTCCCTTTTTAAATTTTATGTTAAAAGTTATTTAAATAGAGGAATGTTGTGATTGTACTTGTTTTTTTTTCCCTTCAGTTTATTTTTCCCAGATTATTATTTTGAAAATTTTCAAACCTAGAGAAAAATTCAATTAGTTCAGTGAACTAAAGATAATGACCATCATTGATTCTAGATTTGCTAGTTGTTGATATTTTGCTACGTTTGCTTTAGCTTCCTATATCTATATATTTCCCCTAAGCTGTATGAGACTAAATTACAGATAGACTTCATCCAGTTGTTTGTTATACAACCACAATACAGTGATCATACTAAAAAAAAGTAATGGTAATGCATTGCTACTGTGTGATATAACATTCATATTCACATTTTCTCAGTATGTGTTAATAATATCCTTTGTAGCTTTTTCCTTCATCCAGAGTCCAATCAGAAACACACATTACATTTAGTTGTATTAACTCTTTTGTCAGCCAGGCTCGGTGGCTCAGCCTGTAATCCCGCGCCTTTGGGAGGCTGAGGTGAGTGGATTGCCTAAACCCGCGGGTTCGAGACCCGCCTGGGCAACTTGGCGAGACCTCATCTCTACAATAAATCAGAAAATCAGCCGGGCATGGTAGCGTGTGCCTGTAATTCCGGCTACTAGGAAGGTTGAGGTGGAAGGATCGCCGGGGCCCAGCAGGTCGGGGCTGCCACTGCACTCCCATTTGGGCGACAGAGTGAGACTCCAACTAAAAAAAAAAAAAACAAAAATCTTTTGTCTCTAATATAGAATTTTTTTTTTTTTTTGGTCTGCTATGACATTTAACAGTTTTCGAAGAGTCTAGACAGTTGATTGGCATTATATTCTTCAGTTTTCATTTATCTGGTTGTTTCCTTATGATTAGGTTCAAGTTAAACATTTTTTGGCAAGAACATTTCTTAGATAATGTGTTTTTATATCTATACCATCAGGAGATACAGTATACTGGGTTTTTTTGTTGTTGTTTTTTCCTAGCTCAGATTTATTTGTACAAATAGCACAGGAGGGCACCGGGCCCACCCAGACAGCAGCCTGGGGGTCAAACCAATTCTCATATTGGCAGATAGAGGTCTTTACTCTGGAGCCTTTGTGGGAGTCTGGACCACCTTTGGGAGCCTGAGCAGGAGTAGGAGCTGGAAGTGAAACTGTGGCCTGGGCCTTAGTTTGATCCTTGGCCTTTGGCTGGCAGAGCCTGCGGCCCTTGGCAGTATAGGCAAGAGCATGCTTCCCAAGCTTGGGGTGGGCAATGTCAAGGAAGCTTGCGGGTAGGAGGACCCTTTGGGATCTTGGGGCTTAACCTCCTTGGCTTTACAAGGACCTTGAGCATGTGCATTCATGGCCTTGGCATTGTGGGCTTGCATCTTCTCCAGGCCCTTCTTGTTGTGCTTCTTGGCAAAACGCATGTTCCTCAGGAACTTGGGGTCCACCCATTTTGTGATCGGGTTTCTTGATGTCATTTTTGGGACTGGTTGTGTGTGCTATGTTTCTTGGACTTGGCCATGTCTGTACTGTAACCCGTAACTCCTGAAGCACCTGGGATCAGAAGAGCCAGGTTTGTTTTATATTATTGGTGATCCTAAAATTGGAGGTACCTACCAGATTTCCCCCTTGTAAAGGGACCTTTTTACATTACTGATGATTAAGTAATCCATGGGGTGATACGTTGAGATTGCCTTTTTCTCCTCCTTTCAACCAGTGGTTTTTGTCACCCTTGATTATCTGAGCCTGAATCTATTAGTAGAGTGGTTCTTGTAAAGCAAAATACATTTATTGCAATTTTTCTGTAAAGAACTTTCCCTCATCCTTTTTTTCTTTTTTAATATCACTGTCGTCTCATGGATTTTAATTGGATTTCTGGCACTGAAATTGTTCCAGATTTGACCACTGTAGTCCTATCAAATTGACTCCTGAAACTTTTTGATATGTCCCCATCAGTTTTTGAACTCTGCCTTACTTTCTGGACCAACAAAATGTTCCAGACTTTCATTGTACCCTGATTGAACCCTGATTTCTTTTAATAACGATTTAGTTTTCATGGAGCTAACTCTGATGATGGTGGTAAATTTTGGAAGACAGTCTAGAATGAAGGAAATTTGATGCCAGAAGATCAAGGTTCAGACATTGTTTGAGCAAGGGCTGGTGAGGGCTATCACCAAAATAGTGGGGATGGAAAGGAGGCCTTATTGGTGTGAGATTTCTGATATTAAAAAAAACCATTTGGTGATTGTTTAGATGTAAAGATTGGGAGAGAAGGATTAGGATGATTCTCGTATCTAGCTTATGATTCTGGATTATCAGTGATTGAGTAGTAAGAGCAAGAATAGAAATCTGCAAAGCAGATTCATAAGGTGGAATACAGAAGTCCATTTTAGTCACAAGGCGTTTCAGGTGTCTCTAGGATGTCCAGATGGAAATGTCTTGAGCAGGAAGAAGTAAGAGCTCAAGAGAAAATAATTTAGATTGTCTTCCGGTTGATGACCAAGGGAGTGGGACAGAGCTTTCCCCTCCAGCTGGATTGTAAGCCTATGTAGCTAACATTTGTATATACTTGTTTGAAATCCCCATCATCTGTATATTGTGTGCATGCAATTCAATATTTGTTCAGTGATTAGAAGACTAAATGTGGATTTTTCTCATGATTCTAACAAGGTCTTTGAAAATGCTGTTTTCTTTCTTTGTCCTCATACCTTTTTAAGCAATTTAAAGCTTTAATATATTTTATTTTAAAAATTAGGATATTATACCATTTATTGATAAATACTGGGAATGCATGACGACCAGACAGAGACCTGGGAAAATGACTTGGCCAAATAACATTGTTAAAACAATGGTAAGTAGACTAAAATTGATTAGGCTTTACATTTAGAAAACCAGCATTCTTTGTAAGATTGAATTTTTTTAGTCTCATGTGAAGTAATGGGATGACTAAGAAAATGAGAACATCTTTGAGTGTGAGATATAGCTGATTGTAAGTTTTAATAGGTTTTACACACAAATCAATGAAATGTATATTGTTTCATATGAACATTACCCACCATAGTTTATGCACTAAAACCTTTGTCCACTGCACTTTTGCAAGCATAATTTTATATTGAAATTGAAGGCCTTTTTAAAAAAAATTTTTTTTTTTTTAAAAGATCAAGGCCAGGCGTGGTGGCTCACGTCTATAATCCCAGCACTTTGGGAGGACTAGGTAAGAGGATTGCCTGAGCCCACGGGTTCGAGACCAGCCTGGGCAACTTGGTGAGACCTCATCTCTACAATACATAAAAAAATAATTAGCCGGGCTCGGTGGCTCAGCCTGTAATCCCAGCACTTTGGGAGGCTGAGGTGAGTGGATTGCCTGAGCCCACGGGTTCGAGACTCGCCTGGGCAACTTGGTGAGCCCTCATCTCTACAATAAAATAAAAAATTAGCTGGACGTGGTAGCGTGCGCCTGTAGTTCCAGCTACTTGGAAGGCTGAAGCGGAGGGATCGCCAGCGTCCAGCAGGACGAGGCTGCGGTGGCCGGGAGCGGCCACTGCACTCCAGTCTGGGTGACAGAGTGAGACTCCAACTAAAAAAAAATTAAAAAATTAAATAAATAATTAGCTGGGTGTGGTGGCACTTGCCTGTAGTTCCAGATATTTGAAAGACTGAAGTGAAAGTATTGCCTGAGACCAGCAGGTTGAGGCTGCGGTGGCTGCCATGGGCGTGCCACTGCACTCCAGCCTGGGTGACAGAGTGGGACTCCAAGTCCAAAAAAAAGGATAAAGTGCAGTGGCTCACACCTGCTGTAATCCCAGCACTTTGACAGTTCAAGGCAGGAAGATCACTCCAGGCCTGCAGTTCAAAACTAGCCTGGGCATCATGGCAAGACTCCATCTCTACAAAAAAAAATTAAAGAAAAAAATTAGCTGGGTGTGAGAGCACATGACTGTAGTCTCATCTACTCAGGAGGCTGAGACAAGTGGGTCACTTCAGCCCAGGAGTTCAACTACCTGAATAACAGAGTGAGACCCAGTCTCCAGATAATGAAGGAATGAATGAGTGAATGAATGAAAGAAAAAATTTTATTCTATGTATTATTGTCTAGAGAGCACCTGGGGAGAAGTCAACATCAAACTCTTGCTGGGTATGGTGGCTTACATCTGTAACTCCAGTACTTTTGGAGGCTGAGGTGAGAGGATTGCCTGAGTCTAGGGTTCAAGACCAACCTGGACAACTTGATGAGACCTTGTCTCTACAATACGTTAAAAAGTTAGCCAGGCATGGTGGCGTGCGCCTGTTGTTCCAGCTACTTGGAAGGCTGAGAAAGAAGGATAACCTGAGCCCAAGCGTGTTGAGGCTGCAGTCGTCATGAGCATGTCACTGCACTCCCGCCTGGGTGACAGAGTGAGACTCCACCTTAAAAAAAACCAACAAGTGCTTAATTTAATCTCTGTGAGGTGGAAGGATAGGTGAGGATAATGAAAGACTGGCTCTATTTAGGTTTCTCTCATTTGAATTTTTTTTTTTTTTTTTGAGTTGGAGTTTTACTCTGTCTCCCAGACTGGAGTACAATGGCATGCTCCCGGCCACTGCAGCCTCGACCTGCTGGGCTCCAGCGATCCTTCCGCCTCAGCCAGAACTACAGGAATGTGCTACCACGCCTGGCTAATTTTTTGACTTATTGTAGAGATGAGGTCTTGCCAAATTGCCTGGGCGGGTCTCGAACCCGGGGGCTCAGGCAATCCACTCACCTCAGCCTCCCAAAGCGCGGGATTACATGCTGGGCCACCGAGCCCAGCTTCGTTTGAATTTTTTGATGGTCATGTGTTTATTATCTAATCAGGAAAATCAATGCTATCTATTTTGGAGACTAAACCTAGGAATTGGCATTTGAAGTTTGTGGTTAATTATCTAGTCTCAACTTCTAGATATAAGATTTTGCTTAATACTACAATGCTTCTCCCTTTTAGAGTAAAGAAAGAGATGTATTCTTGGTAAAGGAACACCCTGATCCTGGGAGTAAAGACCCGGAAGAAGATTACCCCAAATTTGGACTTTTAGATCAGGTACATTAATATGCTTTTATATCTTCTTTTTTATTTGAAACCACTTGGAGATAATCTGGTTTTGTTTACATTTGCCATATTACATGCTGTCATTACATGCCTATCATAGGGTGGGCTCCAAATAGTCAGTGCTTGATGCATGTGGAAGGAGCATCACTTTGAGCCAGGAGAATAGCCATTCAGTTCTGGCTCTTCCCCAGAATGTTAGAACTTTTACTTTGTTTTTGTTTTTGTTTTTTGAGTTGGAGTTTCACTCTGATGCCCAGACTGGAAGTGCAGTGGCCGCTCCTGGCCAGCGCAGCCTCTACCCCGCTGGGCTCCGGCAATCCTTATGCCTCAGCCTTCCGAGTAGCCAGAATTACAGGCGCGCGCTACCACGCCTGGCTGATTTTTTATTTATTGTAGAGATGAGGTCTCGCTGCCCAGGCGGGTCTCGAACCGCGGGCTCA